GGTTTAGGGTTTAGGGTTTCCTGAGCCCAAAGCGTCCTAAAGCCCGAAAGCCCCAACCCTAAGCCCTAATATTAGGGCCTAAGTAATTACCCATACTATTTTTTTTGGGGTGGGGTCCATAGTCTAATTAACTAGAATATAATATACCCCAGAACCCTATTCTAATTCTCAAGGCCCCTGCATTAGCCTGGAACAAATTTCAACTTGAATCCTCAACCATAATCGACACCCTTCACCTTCAACCTAAAACCTAAACCCTAAACCCCTAAACCCTAAACCCTAAACCCCAAACCGAAAACCCCTAAACCCTTAACCTGAAACCCTAAACCCCCGAACCCTGAATCCCTAAGCCGAACACAACGGAAGTCCGACGCACGGCAGTCTCCTGCAACGCCTCGGAGAGAGTAACGAGTAGGCAGGGTTTAGGGTCAGGGTTTAGGGTTTAGGGTTTAGGGTTTAAGGTTTAGTTACGATTTAGAGTTTAGGGTTTTAGGCTTCACCAGGGCAGCCCCAAGTATCCTTTAATTAATGAAGCCCTCACGGTCCGTAATGGAGGGTAGTTGGGGCAATTAATTCGGGGCCTAGGTAGGGAGTATAAGGTTAAGATTCGATTGTCGTTGTTGCGGTAATGACTGCTGAATGAGAGATGAGGACCCCTACGCTCTACCACCGAGTGAAAAAAAGCCGATCTTTCCGACAAATAGTCAACGACCCGAAGCGCAACCACACGGTTGCTGATATACATCCTGCATTACCCATAATAAGGAATATACTATTAGTTCCCATAGTCTAGGGCCCTAAAGGTAATGCAGGATTTGTACCATCAACCATAGTTGTGCGCCTTCAGGGACTTTGTTTTCCCACCTGCTGTTTCCACCTTGAGAACCCAATCCTTATTGCAAGTTGCTGAGCTTGGAGTTTGCCCAGGTCTCATAACCCTCAGCCCTAAATCCCTAAGACCCTAAACCCCCGGCAGAGCTCACGTGTTTGTCCTCCAGGGATTTCCTGCGCCCACTGCCGCAATACCAAACCCCCAAAGCCGCATGTATCGGAGGCCCGAAAAGATGGGATGGAGGTAGGTGGGATATTCCCAAATAAGAGTCCTTTTTAAAAGGGATCCTTAATCCTAACTACCTTCATCCCACGTTTTGAGGCCTCGGAATGAAAGCCCTCAAACAAAACCCTAACCGTATCATTTCTCTCCATGCTGTATGTTGTGTCCTTTACTCTATATTTTTTGAAGGGGATGTCGGGGGAACAGCAAGTACAACAATGAAGACGATATGAGGCGAACTACAAGAAGGTATTTCTTGACCCTAAACCTAAAACCCTGAACCCTGAAACCCTAAGTTTCCCTAAAGGGTGTTTGTTGCGCAGGTCCCGAACAAGGAGCCCATCGCACTCGCACAAGAGCGCCTGGGATCGTCCGGTGCTGAGATCTTCGTGCGTTGGCTTTTTGGAACACTTCAGGGAAAGGTGCCTAACTGCAACAAAGAAAACCAAACATCAACCATCAAATGTTTGTTTTTTCATGTATACATTTACATACAGAATATGTATATATATATATATATACATACATGTAGATGCATGTGTGTATTTATATATATATATATATGTGCATACGTATATATATATATATATACATGTGCACTTTTCTGCAAATGTTGTATGAGGGACATTGTTGTCCATTTAGCTTGAATCTGTCTTCCAGATATTAGAGGCTGTCAATATACGATTGGCGGCTTTGGAATGTAGAGTGCTTGCTTCCATGTTTGTTTATTTTACGGTTAAGGTGCCGAGTAGTCAGTATTCTGAAATCCTAGTAATCTCTACACCCAAAATCCCAAACCCTACACACTATATAATCTCTACACCCCGCGCCGCACACCTCAACAACTGCTACGCCATACTACGCTGTACTAGTACCATACTGTACCATACCACACCATGCCTTACTCTACTAGAGACAGCTCAGGTGGATGTCCCTTGGCGAGGCTCCTTGCAACGGCCTGGCCGAAGTGTTGGCGAAGCCGCGCGGACTCGCTTTGGTTTCGGGTTTAGGTTTTACAACGCCTAATAAAAAGGGGGCTAAATAATTACCGATACTATTTTTGGGGGTTCCTTATGATAAATAAAGTATAATGGGCCCCTACAGCCCTATTCTAATTATTAAGGCCTCTACATTACGCTATGGTTGAGGGCTCAGGTTTAGGCTTGACAGAGTAATTCAGGTCGTTGAGAAGGCTTTCCTAAACCCTAAACCCTCAACCTTAAACCCTAAACCCCTGAACCCTAAACCCTACACCCTAAGGCCTAGACTCTAAACTCAAGCTCCTCTCCCCACCGCCCAATCCTTACGGAGGCGGAACAGTTGGAACATCATCATTGGTTTAGGCTTAGGGTTCGGAGATCCTTCTCGGTTTAGGACTTAGGCTTTAGGATTTATCGGTTTAGGTATAGGGTTCGGACATGTTCTCGGTTGGGGATTTAGGGTTTAGGATCAGCAGAAGGGATTCCAGCGCGAATCATCCTTAATCCTGTTCCAACTTCCTGTGTAAACCCTGGAAGCCCCCAAACTCTACAAAGCCTCAAACATTCACTTCAGAGCCCGAAACCACAAACTCCCAGATATCAGTGACGTGTTCCCGTGTTTTCAGCATGGAGCATGTATCAGGGTTTAGGGTTTCAGGTCTAGGGTTTTAGGGTTTAGGGGTGTTCTGGCATGTCTTCGGGGCTTACGACTCTTGTTTGATATTGAAGCTTTTCGGCCTGTGAGCTTTACGATGGAGGTAGCGGGGGTTCGGATTTTCAATAATACGGCTGTAACTGTAAGGTTTCGTTCGCTGTGTCTTCAGGATGTATGGTTCAAGAGCTGGCGATTTCAGGCTTCAGGGTCTTGCACGAATTGAGGTTTCGGGGACACAGGTGAAGCGTCCAAAGACCACCGAAGAACCCTCCTCACCCCCTGGGTCCTAGGTAGTATCAGGGGGACCCCTAAAAGGGCACCCTTCTTAATCCTACTTGTGGCTCTCCTAACAGCGACCTTACTGGGAGTCTATATCCTCAAGGGTGCCCATAATCCGAGCTTTTATAGCAGGAATTTGCAGACCTGAACCCTAAACCCTAAACCCAAATCCGAACTCCTCCTGGAGGCCCTAGAAAGGGGCTGCGGGGTTCAGGGCTTCAGGTTTAAACGCCTACAGCAACGACCTGATCGAACTCAAACCCCAATGTAGTTCCTTTTGGGGATTACGTTACATGACCCTAACTATTAACCACGAAGAGATCGAAGAGGAACTACAATAGCGCCTACACCCTAAACCCTAAAATCACGTTTTTGAAAATCGACCCTCCTTCCCTCCAAGGCCCGGCGCGCCTCCTCGGGCCACCTGCGCCTCGGAAGGTCCTCGCGCGCGCGCGCATGCGTGCGCGTGCGTGCGTTTAGGGTTGAGGTTTTCTGCTTTTTTTTGCGTCTTTTCTCCTAAGGGTTTAGGCAGGTATGGGACATGTCTCAGGGTTTCTACCTCTCTTGCATTGTCGAGTTCCTGAATGCCAGCACAGAGGTCCTTGGCTGGGGGCCTTTATAAGAGTCCAAGTACTTAACAAGCAAGAATCCTCGAGCAAACTACGGGTATATACAGACTATTCAGTGGCTTTGACCCTCTCCTGGACCTGGACCCCAGATAACCTACCGGTTTAAGGACTTCTGTAAGGAAATCGTGATAGGCGGCCCTGAACAGGAAGGTTTTACAGGGTCCGGGATAAGCTTAGCCAGGTGCCTGCTCTTGGACTCTTAGAATGTGGCAACGGCTCAGACATGCTGGTCTATCGGCGCTGTAGGAAGCCACGAGACTCGCACAATCATTGTAGTTCACTTTTTGGGGTACCTAGGAACTTACATAAAGAATTAAAGAATAGTTAAACAAAAGGGAACTACGACAGAGACTACAGGCAGCCTCAAGCGCTGGACACTGAGCTCGTCGGAAGATCGCCAGTGCCCTAACCCTAGCACACTGCACCTTTAAAAATCCCTAAACCCTAAATCGCAAACCCCTGACCTACAGCTTCTTCGGCCTAGGGCTTTGATTTGTGAGGCTGCGTACATCCCAGACAATCGACCTGGGCTTTTGAAAACAGGCGTACCTTATTTGGAGGTCCTTATAAGGGCCTAGAGTTCTCTCAACAAGTAGCGATTATCCTTCTATGAGTCATCCTACAGCAGCGAAGTCTAGCACAGCTCCCGATTGCATGTGAACATCTATGAACATGCCCCTAAACCCTAAACCTTAAACATGCAGGACTGAGCACGCCGGCCGCGGTGCCTGCACCGGCCGCCCCCTTGGCACCTCCGCCCCCAACGGCCATGCGACCAGTGCTGGTTTTGCCGGTGCCCTCGCGCTTACTCCGCCCGGGCCCCGGCCTTCGTTCAGTTTATATCTCTATTCTTTTGTACATCCTGTTTCTTGTGTCACCTAGGACCGTCTCTGACGGATCACCCATGAATGAACTTTCAATTATAGGGGCCTTAACAATTAGAATAGGGCTTTGGGGCCCCTTATACTAGAATTATAAGAAGGAACCCCCGAAGTAGTATATGTAATTATTAACCCTAAACCCTAAACACATAGCCGTCAACCCTAAACCCTAAACCGCCTAAAGCGCCGGCTGCTTCGAGCAGGAGACCCTCAACTCGACGCCACCACACATCCTTAGGGTTTAGGGTTTAGGGTGCCCTTAATCCCTGGCCGCTGGGCCCTCAACCCTAAATCCCTGGCCCATAATACAGGGGCCTAAACAACTACCCATACTATTTTGGGGGCTCGGTATTATAGTGTATAATTATAGTATACCATACCCCAAAACTCTATCCTTCTTTTTGTTAAGTCCCCTACGTTAACCCGAATTACAACTTCTATATAAGTTATACAGCCTGAACTTACAGAAACACCGTAGACAGATTTCTGAGGCGAGCCACTCTGTGCTGGACCGGTGCTGCAGCTGCAACGTTGACCCGCACGGTGCATGTTACCCGAGGAAATCGAAAATGCGGATGAAAGGAGTCCTGACCCAAGGGAGGCAAGGTGATCATATTTGTAGGGCCTATGGCTTCAGGATTTATAGGTTTAGGGTTTAGGTATAGGAGTGTGAAAACGGTTTTGTTGAGCAGCCTTCCGGTTCCGTGCCTCTACACAGACTTACACGTACAGTTCCGAAAACTCACGCCAGACCCTGTTCCATGATTTAGGTCCGATATTCCCCGAAGCCCTTTCGTAAGGAGAACATGTACGCCATTAGTTAAGCTTGCAGTATGCGCTTTGACCTTCAAAAGATTTTCACAGGAGTCCAAGAGGCACTCTAGCTGGCAAGCAGGGTGCAGTAGGGATTAGCGTATCAGGGTTCAGGTTCTCTACATTTAGGGTTTAGGGTTTAGGGTTTAGGGTTTAGGCCAACTATCTGAAAAGACCATCTCTGCTTCACATCAGGCCCTCCAGCTTCCGTTTGTGCACTAACATGGAGATTGCACTTGTATTCTTGCAGAGCCCAGGGGAGCCCATAGGCCGTTCATGAGAATGGGTTGAGGCTTTAATGCATACTCTTGGTATCTCTGGAAAGCGTAGTGGTATATACTTTTTGGTGTAGGACATATTCAAGAAGCGGGTCAACTTCAAACCCTAAACCCTAAACCCTACACCCTAAACCCTCTCTTCCCCTAAACCCTAAACCCTCTCTTCCCGTAAACCCCAAAAGCCCTAACCCCTAAACCCCGAACCCCCTATGCCCTTTTGTACCTGGCCTCGGAGAATGGCCCGAAGCAGTGGTCCCTCCATGATAAGCTGGCGTCTGCAAGAGCTCAGACGGCAGAATTAAGGTTTAGGGTTGGGGGTGTAGGGTTTATGGGGTTTAGGGTGTGGGTTTAGGGTTTAGGGTTTGAGGTTTAGGGTTTGGGATTTAGGGTTTAGGGTCTGGTGTGGGGTTTATCGGGTTTGTGTAGGGTTTGTTGTTTAGAGTGTGGGTTTAGGGTTTAGGGTGTAAGGTTTAGGGTGTAGGGTTTAGGGTTTGGGGTGTCGGGAAATTCGCAGCCAAAGGAACCACGCATGAAGTCCATGGCAGCCGACCTGTGCGTGCTTTGGGGAAGTTGGGCTCTCCATGGGAACCTCCGCGATGCACAATGCATCGTATGCCAATGTCGCAGCCAGTTGCATGACCAATTCGACATCCAAATCTCGGCTGCTCAGCAACTAATACTAAACCCCTTGAACCCTTGAAGCTAGAGGCTTGTATATCAAGGGTTGACATGGGGTTTGATGCCACTACCAGGCTTCGCTGTGTTTGACTACTAAACTAAACCTAAACCTACGCCCTAAGCCCTAAACCTATAGGAGAAATCCTACACCCACACCAAGAACAAGAGGAACCTCCGACCGACGACATCCTAAACCCTGAACCCTAAACCCTAAACCCTTAAAGCTAAACCCTAAACCCTAAACCCTCTCTTCCACTAAACCCTAAGCCCTCTCTTCCCCTAAACCCTAAACCCCTTACCCCGCCAGACTTGTTGGCCTTGAGGATCGGATCTCAGGTAACTTCAAGGAACCCTAGTAGGGACTTTTGTGGTATCCCTCAAAGAAACTCGTATAGAAACCCTTGCAGGACTCGGTTTTGTAGGGTGCGGCCTAACATGAATTACCATGTACTGAACGCGAAGCCGCCGAAGCCGTACCATAAAGTGAGGGGGTGGAGGGGCTGGGCGGGTGAACCCTCAACTTGCCAGAGCTGCCAGGCGGCGCAAAGCAGCTGCCTGTGCACACCATGTTGATTCAATGTCTGCTACGGCTCTGAAACAGCAAGTCAGGGTTTGCAAGCGTTATGGCTTCGCGGTTTGGGGTCTGCGTAGTGTCAACGGCTTTAGGGTGTAACAGTATATATAAGGCCGTAGGGGCAGGGTTGAGGAGCAAGTTGAGGAGGTAATTTAAGGCGCAAGCCAGGTGATGTCAGAACTTCCTGCGAGAACTGCAGATAAAACTCCTGAATTTCGAGGCTTGTAATGTTTTCATACACTTGACCCCAGGCTCAAGTCGCACCATCTGGGCTCATATAGCAGGTTAATCTCAGCAGAAACTCAGGGCAAACGACGGTGGCTGGCATGCTTCTGCCGATACCGATGATCCCTAGGCCATGAACCCTGGACAAGCAGCATTGCACCCTCGAAGCCGTCTCTGAGAGCTTGACTATTTGCAAGTAGTAGCCCGGGCCCGATCATGTTCGAGGAACATGCTTTAACTACGGGGGATTGTGATCTCTAAGGGTTTAATACCATACCTAGACTGGGAATGTGTGGACAATTCCGTAGTCTGCGGGGCTTAGGCCCTCTGCAGGAGAAGCAGGCAGTCCCTCTGGTTCAGAGGCCGACGTCTGACAAGAGACGGCCGATCGCAGCTGCAACTGCAGAAAGGCGGAACGCAACCAGTCGCGCCGCGACACTACGCAGTAGGTGATTGTTGCATGGAACAGACTTTCATATGGCCCCCTGAACCGCTGAAGACATAGTAGGACAGTATTGCCTGTAATCCTACCTGAACTGAAGCGTTCAATTTTTCGAAGGCTTCATACAATGAACGAAGACTGCCCTGACCCCAGTGTTGAGGAGATGAGTTGGTCTGAGGACTTAGTCTTATGTTCCGGTATCATCTTGGTGTTCAGGGTAGAGCTCAGGGTTTAGGCTTTAGAGCAAGGTTGTGAATGATCTTAGCGAGTGCTGAACCCTAAACCTTACACCTTAAGCATCCTTATACACTGCCAAACTCCGAATCCCAGCTGCCCACCGGAAGTTAGAGCTACCGTTTAGGTATACCATAGCCTACCTTGTTCTGTAGGGCTTTCATGAATTCCATAAAAATGGCTTAATGTAAGAACCTACAGAAGAGTAGGGCTTGAACCCCTAAACCCTAAAGGCTAAACCCTTCAACCCCGAACCTAAACCCTAAACCTGTTCAAGGTAGTGTCCTAAATTAGGGGATCTCCTTTGCTATGGCATCCTGAAGCCGGAGCCCCGAAAGTCTACGTGGTGCGCCCCGGTTTAGGGCTTTAGGGTTATGGGGTTTAGGGTTTGGGGTTCAGGGTTTAGGATTTAGGGCTTTAGGGTTTAGGATTTGGGGTTTAGGGTTTAGGGCTATCGTAGAAGCCCAAAAGCTGGAAACCCAACAGCTTCAATCCTTCAGAGTAATGCATAGGGAATCCCAGCATCCGGAGAGACCTAAATCCTCAAAAACCCTTACAGCTTGAACCCTAAAAGGCCTTAAACCTAAACCCGACTTTTTAGGGTTTAGGGTTTAGGACCCCTTAACCCTACACCCTAATTCCTAAACCCAACCGTGAACCCTAAACAAGACAAAACCCCTACACCTTAAACCCTGAACCTAAAAGCTCAAAAGCCCTACACCTGTAAACAACCTACCCTATGTGTCCATGTAAAGCTGTATCTATTTAGGTACTTTGGGCCCAAAGTATATGCTACTTGAGTACATGGAACCTTAGGGCCAGACCCGCCCACTACCCTCCAATATAATTACCCTAAGTGCATCTAAACACCCACTAAAAAGCACCACAAGGCCTGGGCACTTGGGGGGGTCCTGAAACCCTAAGCCCTATATACACCCTAAACCCCATACCCTGAACCCCAAACCCTAACCTTGAACTGCAAACCCTAAACCCTAAACCGTAAATCCTAAACTCTACACCCCATACCCTAGAATCCCTAAACCCTGAACGCTGAACCCCAAACCCTACACTCTGAACCTCACACCCTACACCGCAAACCCCAAATCCTACACCCTAAACCCTAAGCCCCAAACCCAAAACCCCAAACCCTAAACCCTAAACCCCGGTCCTGGAAGAGTCAGGAGATTCGACGGCGACTTCCATCTCCAAGCGGAAGGCTTCAGCGGGCAGTCAATAACGTAGAACCCTAAAGGGGTTTAGGGTTCAGGAGTTTAGGGTTTAGGAACCTGCATAGCTACCAACATTATATTTTTAGGGCTCCTTATTATTATACTTTGAAGGACCCAAAAACCCAATTCTAATTATTAAGGCCTCTACATTACCCAGACCTTCCATTTTTTCTTGATTAGCCAGGTTCCTCAAAGGGTTCCTATACGGGATCTATAGGGTTTAGGGTTTAGGGTAATACCCCCGAGTAAGAAATATACCTGACATCATGAATCAGGGACCTTACTATGTTTTAAGGTATATTATTTAATTAAGTTCAGGGATATGGGAGTTTCCGAAAATTAGGGTACCTTATTTGGGGCCCTTATAATAAGGACCCTACTATTTAGGGTACTATATTAGGGTCCCCTATTTTCGGAAACCCCCCCATATTGGAAGGTCTGGGTATGGAAGCCTGAATCGGGTTTTCTTGAAGGGATCTGATTTTAAAGGGTTTCTTCCGGGTTTAGGGTGTAGGGTTTTAGGGTTTTGGGGTTTTTGGGTTTAGGGTTTAAGGTAGGTTTCTATAAGGGTTCTGTTAAGGTTTCTGCATGGATTGCTGTGAGGGATTTTCTGGGCTTCCTTTCAGGGTTACTATAGCGGTTACTCTAGGGTTGCTTAAGAGACTCTGAATGTGGGCCTCATAATCGCAATTATAGACCCTAAGCCCTAAACCCTAAACCGTCCAAAGTTATTCTTTGGGGCTTTTTGTCGTTATTGTATGGTACTATACCCCAGAACCCTTTTCGAATGATTCTGGCCCCTGTCATATTTCTACACCCATACCCGTTCTGGGTTTAGATTCCGACGTTCGGTGCAGTTCAGGATCGGAATTCGCGACTTTATGGTTTTGGTGCTTTCCCCCCGGCACTTTCCGTGGAACCTCAGGCCCTAAAATGGTGACCCGTTAATGTAGGGGCCTAGATAACTACCTATATTATTTTGGGGGTTCCTTATTATTATAATTATAGTATACTGGGCCCAAAAACCCTATTCTAAATTATTAAGGTCCCTACATTAGACAG